AATTACAGTTTGATTATGAACAGTATTTAATTTTTTGGCTGCATTTGTAGCATTCTCATCACTTAAAAATAAAAAGTATAAAACATGTCTCTTATATTCATCTGTTACTTCCATTTTAACGAAAATAAACAACTGAAATGTTCCCAATTCTGAACAGTATTATATGAATGAGATCCAATTTAACACTTCAGTGTAAAAAGTATCACATTAGACTGGCATTTTTAACAGCAAAACAAGATTTTTCTCAAGGTCATAAAATATGCAGGAACTTATGGACTGACCTGATAGAAGTTTATATATATATATTTATTTATTTATGCATACTGGGTACAATACATTAATACATGATGTGGGGAGCTAAGCTGTCTTCCAAATACAAAACACTTAATTACATTGAACATGAAATTACAAAAACAAAAATACACAATCAAATTAGATTGCATTAAAATTAACTTAAATTTAAATTTGGGAGCATCTGTCATTAAATACTATGTAAGTACTGGTTATCTTTTCAAAAATTAAAAATAATGAAAAACCTTTATTAGAAATGTGAAATTCTGACCAATAAATTTAAACTCCACATGAAAAATTTATGTTTATAGGATAAATACAGTATATAATTACTTACTTTTATGTGCATTCTATTTCAGATATCATTTGTTTAAATTTTCTTTTATTTAATAGGAAAAAATTAAAAGGAAAACTATTACTCCTGACAATGCAAAATCTATAACATCTCTTCAAATTTCACCATTATCTTCAAAAAAGTTTGTTTTGTTTTCTTTTTTTGGAATACTATTAAATTTATTTATGAATTCAATTTGACAATTTTATATTTTTTAGTTTTACTCCACCAAGCAAGTACTGCTCACGCTCTATGTCTAGAGATGTTATAATATCATACAGGTCAGATGAATATATTACTTGGAAAACAAATAATGATCACATTTATAATGTTAATTACTATGATACTGAGTCAGCATTAACAACAAAATATCCCTTTATGTTTGAAAAACTGAGAGACTGTGCATATTTTTTAAATGAAAGAATACAAAATTTGGCTTGTTTTTATCAGAATCGTCATAAAATAGAAGAATGGTCTTCAATGCAATCTTTAGTTCAGGTAATTTTTTTCAATAGTATATATTTATAATTTTTAAAAGTAACTGATCTTTTAGAACAACTAAAACTTATATTTTTCTCTATGGATTAGTATTCTATTTGAATCATTCTAAAGAAACTCCAGCATATAAACTGATATTCTTATATAAGAATATCAGTTTCAGTTATTTTTAAAGTTTTAAGTTTTATATTTTGCTAATATTTTTATTTTTCTTATTTTAAAAGGAAACTTGTTACTACAGTAAGACCCTGCTTAATGCAGGGTATACATTCCTAGATGACAAAGTGCTAAACAAAACAGTGTTAAACAAGGTCATTTTAACAGAGTAAATAGGGAAAGGGAAACACATGACCAAAAATAAACAGATTTTACTTTAATTTTAAGTTATTTTTATATTAATTTGCATAATAATATAGTAAATAATAATAAATAGCACACAAACATATACACATAGAAATATAAAGTTTTTTTTTGTGATGAAGGTCCTGGCTCTTTTGAAATTCTTGTTTTTTTTTTATGTGATAAAGTCGTGTGATTTCATTTGTCACTTTTTCTTTTCTTTCCTTAAGCAAATGTTGATAGCAGAAGATTGCATCCAAAACACCTCGTCTTGCTTTTGCACTCCTTTCAAAATCTGGATCATTCGCTACAATTTGAGCAATGATTTTGGTTATCGTTACTAAACTTTTACTAAGGAAATCTGTAGCAAGTTCTTTGGGTTCTTTGTTTTCAGAATCACTATTTTCCAGTTCTATATGAATTCCTTGTTCTGCCAGTTCTTGACAGTCATTGGTAAGGCTCTCACCAGAAACCTGCAGTAACTCCTCAATATACTGCTCATCTACATCTCCTAGTCCTGCTGTATCAATTAGGTTGACAAATTGGTCAACCTAATGATACAGCATAGGCTTTTCATACCTTCAGCCATAACTTTTTCCACACTTTGTTCATGCATTTATCAGTTAATTCTTACCAAGCGGAGTTGATATTGCCTATGGCTTCCATGATATATTTTTCTAAAATTGCTCCAAACAAACATAGATTTAAGGAAATTATAGTGCTATGACGAATTGCCACCTTTTGCCAATTGGTTTGTGTTTGGGAATAATAGTATTATATATGAATCAGTGAAATGCCAGGATAATTTAAATCAGCATAAATTATGAGCTTTTTTTAGGGCTNAATAATAATAAATAGCACACAAACATATACACATAGAAATATAAAGTTTTTTTTTGTGATGAAGGTCCTGGCTCTTTTGAAATTCTTGTTTTTTTTTTTATGTGATAAAGTCGTGTGATTTCATTTGTCACTTTTTCTTTTCTTTCCTTAAGCAAATGTTGATAGCAGAAGATTGCATCCAAAACACCTCGTCTTGCTTTTGCACTCCTTTCAAAATCTGGATCATTCGCTACAATTTGAGCAATGATTTTGGTTATCGTTACTAAACTTTTACTAAGGAAATCTGTAGCAAGTTCTTTGGGTTCTTTGTTTTCAGAATCACTATTTTCCAGTTCTATATGAATTCCTTGTTCTGCCAGTTCTTGACAGTCATTGGTAAGGCTCTCACCAGAAACCTGCAGTAACTCCTCAATATACTGCTCATCTACATCTCCTAGTCCTGCTGTATCAATTAGGTTGACAAATTGGTCAACCTAATGATACAGCATAGGCTTTTCATACCTTCAGCCATAACTTTTTCCACACTTTGTTCATGCATTTATCAGTTAATTCTTACCAAGCGGAGTTGATATTGCCTATGGCTTCCATGATATATTTTTCTAAAATTGCTCCAAACAAACATAGATTTAAGGAAATTATAGTGCTATGACGAATTGCCACCTTTTGCCAATTGGTTTGTGTTTGGGAATAATAGTATTATATATGAATCAGTGAAATGCCAGGATAATTTAAATCAGCATAAATTATGAGCTTTTTTAGGGTTTGAGCAGACCGCATTATATCAAATCAGCATTAATCAAGGCAGCATTAAGTGGAGTCTTACTGTATTTAATAAATTAACTAAGTATTTCAATTTTTTTGATATTTATTTCATATGATTTTAATGAAATTTTTAAATATATTTTTATAGGAAGAAGTAGATATAGTGGGAAGTATTTATTGTGATGGAGAAGGCAAATTAAATTCTAGTTCTCTTCTCTTACAAGGATCTTGGGAATTAACTTCTGGTCTGCCTGTGCAGTTGGATGTATCATGTCTCTCTCAATTTTCATTTTTTCCTGGTCAAGTAATTATATATATATATATATATTTTTTTTTTTGAAGTATTGGTCTGCAAAAAATTTCATCAGTCTGCAGAAAAGTATTTGATTGTAATAACACTAGCACAGTTGATTACAGGTGACATTTAAATAGTAGTATTTTTGAAACCATGTCAGTAATTGTTTAGTAATTCAAACACAAATCATTTATTATATTCATTCAGACACTTGGCAAATCTCATCATTAAATTTTATTTAGTTGATATGTGTTTATCATATTTGTAAACGTTTCAGGCATTTTGTGCCCCTCCTCAGCCAACTAAAATAGAAGTTCACAAGTTACAACAATATAAAACATATATATATAAAGGTCATGTTTTTTAAAACATACGTTTTTAGATTACAGATTAAAGAAAGTTAAAACCATAAAATTTCTTTGCATATTCAACTTCTTTAACTTCTTGTTATCCATTAAATCACAGATCTTTGTAAGGTTTAAACCTTTAAAACTCCATTACACATTTAACTTCTTATTATCTAAAAAATTTTTTTATATATTTAACTTCATGTTATCCAAAAAATTTTTTACATTAATTATCCTGTATACATCTATTTTGATGAAAATATCATAAATTATGCACCTAGTTATTCATTTTTAATCATTATAAAATTTCAACTATTTAAAGTTTCATTACCCATTCAACATTTTGTTTCTAAATTATTTTCCATACATTTATTATCACGTTTAAATCGATTTAACACTAATACCAGAATTTACATACCCAATTACTTGTCTTACATCAAAATTGAAGAAGCCCCTCCATATAAACAGATCTCGTCATTCTTTCTCCCCCTTTTCACACCCAATTTAAATAGTAATCTTGCTGAATGTACTTTGTTATGTACATTAACTGTAGATAAGTGTATACAGTAGAATCTTTTCTTAATGGGTTGCTTGGGCCGCTGAAAATCATTCCTTGTTCCAAGAATCTGTTATATCATGAACAACAGATATCCTCACACCTCTGAAAATATCTGTTATTTAAAACCTCCTACATATAAGAAATACCTGTACTTGAAATTATTCAGTCTCTTGAGATCTCTGTTCTATAGAAATACATATGTTACATGATCCTATATTATGCTGCGTGTGTATACAACAAAGCTGGCAGAAACTGTATATACTGTAAGAACAAAAGAAGCAAATTCCATATGCTCATTAGCACCTGACTTCACATTTGTTAAAAAAACTTGTCCATCTTAGTTTGTTTGATATCACCTTTCTGCCTATTAAATATAACCACTACTCAATATTAGCAATGTCATACAGTATACATTCTGTTCATTTATGCTGAAACTCATCAGGTAGTTCTTCACAACTTGGAAAGACTTGATGGCCTTGCTAAATTTCTACACTACACTTGAACCAGGTGTATCCTCTCAATCATATCAGCCTGTCAACTCTTTTCATACAATATCTTCAATTGTACATACATATCTCACATATAACAAGTGCAATATCAAAATCTATAAATTCCTAGAAACACCCAAATATTAACTAAACATTGAAAAATGTAAAGTTTACAATAGATTGGGTAAAAAAAAATATGTTATTCCTAGTTATGGATCTGCTAATAGGAGGTAAAATTATATTGACTTGGTGGGACCTAGGGAAAAAAATCTGTTGTTCCACAATGCATTAAAACAAGATTCTGCTGTATAAGCATAATTTATAGTTGCATATATTAATTCTTAAGTCTTTGTGTCCTTATTATACAATTTTATTATTATTATTTAGAAAAAAGGAAAAATCTTTTTTCCTTTTTTCTAAATAATAATAATAAAATACGTTTCCTCATTTTGCAGGACTTGGACACCTGTATAATAAACCTGTATAATATGATATGTCCTAGTAGACATTTAAGTAATAAAATTGTAGTTGTGTATAATTACTGGCCCATGTAATATCCATAATTATACTGATCCACAATTAAATAAAGGTTTAAAAACACTGCTGTATATTATTACAACCATATCTCAATAATTTAATAATCCCAAGCACTTGTCATAACATATATTAAAATATATTTGCTGGTTTAATTTTAAAGGTTTTGTTTGGTCATTTAATAAAGAATTTCACTAATTAGTTAAATTATAATTATTAAATTTAATAACAGTGCCTAATGCATCCCTCTAGTGACAAATTATTTAGGAATTAATTAAATATAATTGCAGAAAAGTAGTCCAATGTAATCTGGTAGTTGTTAAGGATGACATTTAAATAGTAATCTAGAGTTACTATGGATACTTTGCTACATATAGTAACCCTACATAATCATTTATAAGCATAGTAAATAAGCATAATTTATAGTTGCACATAATTACTGGTCTACATAAAATTATCCATAATTTTACCAGTTCATGATGAGAAAAAGGTTTCTCACTGCACTACAGAATAATATTTCAGAAATCCAGATAATAAAAAAATTTAGAAAATGTATTTATATGGATGTTGATGAAGCGTTAATATAATAGTTTTGTATTCAATTGGAAATCCAGAAATTCTTTGTAATATAAAAGTATAAGCAGAAAAAGGAGTTTGGACATCAATATTTTGTATGAAACAATGGATGGCTCAATTATTTTAAAAACAGAATCAATAAATTTATTGTATATGGCAAAATATAGTACTTAAAAGTCAGGTGTGACAAAAAAATATAAATATAGTCATATACCATTACTCATTCCATTATTAATGATATAGGATAAAACACTAAAATGGGTACAGTGAATAATGCTTATAATGAGCAAATGTACTTGGTCTCTTTATACTCATTATAACTAAGTTCAACTGTATATAGTTTATAATGGAATATTACCAGTACAGAGTCTGATGGACTATTCCTTCCCAGCAAAACTTGAAAAAATGAGAGCATATTTGAGGTCATTTCAACTTGTTGCAGGAATATTATTTTAGTGATTATTCTATATTGGGTGAAGTTAGAAAATAGCACCTCATGGAGGTACCATTTTCTAACTTCACCTGATATCATCTTCTTGTGACATGCAGCTAATCTTTGAGAAGGGGAATTGTCTCCACTTTTTCTAACTTCCAATGAAGTGTCAGATTTCTCTTAATCCTATTGAGCTTGATGCTATCATTAACATATGAGTATGTCAACAATACTTTGATGAGCTTCTCCCACAATTCTTTGATCTACCAATCTTCAGTTCTTCTGGATTAGTAGGTCTCTGTCCTCTTCTAGCTTCTCTCATCTCTCCTGAATCTCTCAGTATTTAACTTGGGTTGCTTGATCAACCAAGTGTTAGGAAGTACATCGTGTGATGGAAGTCTTGATTGAGTTTAAGTACTGAGTTAGATGCAAAACATAGAGATACCAGTGAATACATTCCCTTATTTACTTGGAAGGATTCATGATATTTTTCCATTTGTCACCCTTCAATAAATCCTTATAAGCTACTCTTTCTTTTACATCTTTAGACATAGCTTAATTTAAATGAATAAAAAACTCAGAAATGATTAATGCATAATAAGTTATTATTAATAAAATTGGAAAAGCCATAAAATGAAAGTAAATTATGTTCAATGACAATATTAATGATTTTATTAATTCCTAAATTTTTGTTATGTTGTTTATACATAAACTTTTAAAAAAATTTTATTTGAGTAACTTAACTAATTTACTTGAATAAAATTAAAAAAAAAAAGAATTTCTATGTTTGAAATAAGTAAACAATATCATATTATACAGTATTATTTTTATTTTTCATATAAGATTGATTAAAAGTATAAATATATATATATATATTGAAGATAAACCAGAATAGTTTGTGAAAATGAAACCCAAAGGACTATTTCTCTAGTTGGGATGTCCATGACGTTTATCGTTGCATATTTGAATGATGGTGTTTTAAGAAGAGAGTATGTAAGATTATTTAACAAAAATATAACTTAACACCGTGGTAGATTTTATTATAATTATCTTAGATACTGCAGAAATGCGGTAGTTGTGATTGACATTCCTTATATAGCTGTCTCTTAACACCAATTCGTTTTCAAATTTTTCAATTCTTATACTCGATTTTTGACTAGTCACCGAATCTCCAAAGAATAAAAAATATAATAAAATACTAAATGCAAATTAGTATTTTGTATGTTTAAGTGAAAAATATATATTATATATATATGTACGAAAAAAATAAATCGAGACAGAAACACTTACAATCCTGTTAACAGGTTATATTTTTCACTTTATTCTCAGAGCCGGCCATTCTTGTTAACAAAAATAAGAAAAAAACTATTAAGTAAATCCTCCCGTAAAACTCCTTCTTGTGGAAAAAAAACTGTCCCCAAGTCCCTCCTCTCCCTATATACATATATATATAATATCTCTCCTTTCTCTATCTTTTCCTCTTTACTTCCAATACCCCAGAAAGTAAGAAAAAATAAATTAATATCATTAATAATTATTAAAAATACCATCCTGCTTTAATTATTAAACAAANAAAATGTGAGGGTCAGGGAATTTGGACAAAGTTGGTCAGGGAAAATCAGGGAAAGTCAGGGAATTCAAAACAAAAATTTGAGTAGGAACCCTGAATATAGCGAATTATTAAATGTAAAATTTTGTATTACAAACAACTAAATCACTTGAATTTTAAATTCTCAAATCTTATGTGTAAACTTCAATATATATAAATCTTATTGTTACTTCAGTTTAAGACCACAATTGTTTTAGCACCAATTTCAGAGTGAATGTTTTTCAAAAGTATATATAGCAAGTGATGACTTTGCAGAAAAGTCAGAAGTTTAAATTATTCATACCAAATGTGCTAATACTAATTTATTTACATTATATTCACACAATATACAGGGTGTATCAGAATGACGTTTTAAAAATTTGGGGGATTGTAGAGGATTAAATTTTGAACGTTTTGATATAAGGAACCTGTGGCCAGAAATTTGAACTAAAGTGTCTTCAGCGGTAGGAAGTGCTTGATTGCCCTTCACTTTGGTAGC